ATCTAATACATATAGCATGTGGTTAAAAAATCGAAATATATAAAAATATTTATAACAATGTCTGAAATGTTATCAATTTAATACTCCTAAGTACTCAATGAAGACTAAACATAGTTAAAAACAAAAAATCACATTTAAAATAGTACGGTAGAAGCCATTCTTCAGGTTAAGCCTTAATCCTCTCCCTCTCCCCCTGCGGGGGAATTTCCAAAAATCCCTTCTTAGTGTGCATTTTCATGACATACCCTAACTGTGTACAAAATTTCACCTCTAGGTTCAGCGGTTTGCTCTGGGTGATGATGAATCAGTTACCCAGTCAGTCAGTCAGGACAAGTAATTTTATATATTTAGATAATCAGAATATTTCTTGGAATTTTAAACAGAATTAAAATAAATATTTTTATGTTAAATTACAATTATATTACTATATGATATGATTTATATGCTATAAATACAGTTATTGTAATATCTTGTTAATTTTGTAAATAAATCTTGAAACTGAGCATGTTCTGGTGATCAAAAATTAATTTAGTAATAACCAAAATAGTAAGAATTATCATTGATGACAGCTAGAAGTAATGTCTAATGTTCAAATCTGAATAAATGTAAGTCATTGGAAAATTTGTGAACTAGTAATCATTATTATAAAAATATTAAATTCAAATAACATATTCACTTTGCATATTAGAAAACATCACGTGACTTGAGTTTAAATTATTTTAAATTGTTTTTGCAGTTTCTAGATATGTCATCTCTATAGAAATATTTTGATACCATGTAGAATCCCAAGATATAAAAACAAAAATTGTTTGAAATACCTTTGTCTCAAAATATGTTAAGACCAGATAGTCTGTTCATTTGTCACTCTGAATAGAAAGAATTGAGGCAAACCTCACATATAAATTGAAATGATAAAATGTGGTTTATAGTAAAAATATGATTGAGTATTTTGCTTTCTTATGCAAAAATTTTTTTTTTTTTTTTTTTGTTATTTCACCAACTTAATTCCAAGTCTATTCAGTCTCCTGTCACACAGATTATCCAAGATGATTAAGAAGAATTTAAAGGTCAAACTGTATTGCATCCCTTTTATTTCTAGCACGTGTATTATGTATGCCAAACGACTGCTGGATTAAATTGTGCTACTTCAATATTACTTTTAATTAATTTCTAAATAATTTGTCACTTAGAGGCAGGCATTAGGTGCCATCTCTTATTAAATTTATTAATTATAATTAACTTAATAAATAATTTAGAATATAGTATTCTGGAAGAAAAGAATTGGCCTAGAACAGGACTAGAACCTGCAACTCCCACTTACCTTGTAGATGTATTTCCAGTTGCACTACCCAGACCTCCAGACCAATCTTTCTTTCCAGACATATTTAATTATGATATAACCATCCTTAGTTACTTATGGTGCCAACTGGAAGATTAAGTGGGAGATTATAAGACAAGGATGCTGAAGGTGTTCCCAGTTGGCAGTGACAGATTATTTAGAAATTAATTAAAAATAATAGCAGAGAAGTAGCCTGATTTAATCTGGCAGTTGTTTAGCATATTACTAATATATTGGGTTTTGGGATGTTTACATTTAGTATCACAGTATACAATTTTTATGTGATTTTATCATATACAAACTCACAGGATCAGAATCTGTTTGGAATCATATTATATGATAGCAAATACGACTTATAATTGATATCCATCTAACATAACATCAATACACTGTCTAAATTTGAAGCAATTTCTCTCACATGATGTCCAATGAGAAATAACCACAAGTGTCATGTGATTTAAGCACACGTTAACAATTAGCTTAAGAATTGAGTTAGTTTCAACTTAATGCATTTTGTCTTCAAAGTAAAGAATTTTTTGTATACCTTCAATTATATGTACTTTTATTGAAATTATAGTGAGGAGAAATATTTTTGTAATCATAAAGATTCTCATAAGCATCAAAATGATTGCTTTTGCCCTATTAATTTTTCTGCAGATAGCCGTGTTTAATATTGTTATCCAATATCCTATCAATTTGAATAGGAAAAAATCACATTGTATAATTGGACTTATTCAAACTGATATCATATTACTTCCAGATCATTTATGATAACATTGAAGTTATACAGTGTAATACCACCCTTACTAAAACTATTGAAGTAAAGAAATATTATCTTCTTAGGAAAAGATTTACCGTATTTTACGGACTATAAGACGCACCTTAATTTTTAAGCAATTTTTTAAAAATATAACATTTTTAACATTATTTTTGTTAGCTACTAAAAAAATTTTGTACTGTTACCGATAATACAAATCACTTTTAATTCAAGTTCACTGGCACCGTAGACTGCAATGATCATAGGCTAGACAGTGTTCTGGATTTGTGATGGCGGGGTGGGAGGGAGTCAGTGTTAGCAAGCTTAGGAATCCCTGCAACTCGTTCGTCGCATCGGTGCACTGCTGCTGCCAGTTGAGTTCATGAGTTCATTGTTGCCAGATAGAGATAAGTTTCCCACGACATCAAATATATGGCCATTTTTAAGACTGGCGGGAATTTTAAATCAAACACTGGACATTTTTATATTAATTTTGAGTATAAGACGCACCTGAATTTTGGAGGCAATTTTTCAAAGAAAAAAGTGCATCTTATAGTCCGTAAAATACAGTAGTTTGATTCATAATGTTAACAAAATACCCAAATTACAATAAACGTAGAAAATTTTAAATTATTATTTATATCAGATAATCATCTTTTAAGTAAGAACATTTTACAGTAAAATTTATGTATTATATAATGATTTCTTATATTCTATCAATATTTATTCTTTTTATTTGATAATAAGAAAAAGATTTATTTAATAATAATGGATTAAGGAATAATTCAGTTTTTTTTTTTCAAATGTATTTTAAACAAAATAACCACAACAAATTAATCAATAATATACTTGCTGTTATTGTTTATGACTTCCTTCCATTGTTCAATAAGTTTTTTGATGCCTTGGCGATAGAAATCTTCCAGTCTTGACTCAAAGAATTCGTCCAACCAAACCCTCAATTCCACATCATTATTGAACGTGCACAAATTGTTCAAAAATGATCGAAAGAGGTGAAAATCTGATGGCGTTTACTGATCAAGTTTAATGAGCATGGAAAATGAGGCAGCACTTCAATTTGAGTTCTTGAATCACGGCTTTGATCATATTGGCAATGTGAGGACAGGCATTATCATGTTGCAGAAGAACACCATTTCACCAATTTGGTCTTTTTTGCTGAATTGCTTCATTAAGTTGGTGCAGTTGTTGAACATAGAGCTCACATTGAGTGTTTGGCTGTGCTCAAGCAATTTGTAATGAATTATGCCTTTCCAATTCCACCATACACACAACATGATCTTTTGAGGATGAAGGTTTTGTTTTGCTTGCAGAGTTGCTTGTTTGTTTGGGCTGAGCCATTATTTTTGCTGCTTCATATTGACATAAATGCACCATTTTTTGTCACCAGTGACAGTATGGTAAAGGTAATGCTGTTTGTGACCATATGTTCAGCGAGCAAACTGGCGGCAATTATGGGGCATTGATTCTTGTTGTTTTTGCCCAAAGTGTGTGGCACCTAAGTGCCGAGTTTATGAACCTTGCCCATTGAGTGAAGGTGGTTCACCACAGTCTTTTTATTACAATCCATCTGCCCCAACAATTTTCTGGTATTTTGACATGGCTTTTTGTGAAGAAGTTGATTCAGTCATTCTTCATCGAATTCACTTGGTCAATTGGTGTGTGATCTGTTCTTGAGGTCAAAATTTCCATTTTTGAAACATAAAAACCAATGGCAGGTGATACTTTGGGGAATTGCTCCTTCATACACAGCACAAATCTCATGAGCAGCTTCAGTGACCATAACACCTCAATTAAATGCAAAATAGAAAAATGATGTTGAAAATGCTCAGTTTTGTCCACTTATCATTCCATTTTAAATCATCTGAAAATACACAAATATTAATAAAATTAAAAAATCAAAACACACTATCTTGTAGAGTTTCTCTTTCAAATAACATAAAACATTTTACCAGTGCATTTTATATATTTCTGTATGCAATTTTAAATTTGAAAAAAACACTCATGAATTATTCCTCAACCAAATAATAAAAAGCAATTCTTTAAGTTTGTGTCCTTTGCATTTTATGATCAAAAGTTAATTTTACTTATTTAGAAGGTTGTAAAATTATATTTAATTTAGGCTATTCAAAAGAATAATATGGAAGGAGCAAGGATACATGCTGAAAATGCTATTAGGCAGAAAAATCAAGCATTAAATTATTTACGTATGAGTGCAAGAGTTGATGCTGTTGCTAGTAGAGTTCAAACTGCAGTTACTACGAAAAAAGTTACTCAATCAATGGCTGGAGTTGTGAAATCTATGGATAGTGCAATGAAAAGCATGAATTTAGAGAAAGTAAGTTGAATTATTTGTTTGTTTATGTATTGCTTAATATTTTTTATTATTATTCAAATTTATAAATAAATTATTTTAATTGTTTATTAGATAAAATTTAAATAAAAAAACAAAATTTTTTTATTTAAACTAGTCTATGGGTGAAAACTTATACAGTAAAACTTCTCTAACTCAAAGCTTTAAGGGAAGGAAAAAACTTTGAGTTACAGATGATTCAAGTTGGAGAACTGTAGAGTAAAAAATGCCAGTTCTGAATAGATTTATATTTTTACCTCTCTTGCATTACATAAAGAATATTTGATAGATTTTTTTTTTGTTTGCTTGTTTTAAATGGCTTGTGTAATGCCTTTCAGCAAAATATTCAATAGAACTAATGGAATCAAATAGCTTTGCAGGTATATCTGGTTGAGATAAAGCAAGAGGATCTCTCAATTTGGACTGGAACATTGTTTGAAAATGGGTGTTGGATAGTAGATACAAATAACTGTATGAAAATTTCGTGGAAATCCAATAATTAGAAGCACTTTGGATAGAATAAATATTAAAATTTAAGTCAGGGAAGTTGAAAGTAACTTAGTTTTGGGGACCATGAAAAACTTGGAGTTGGAGAAAATTTGAATTAAATTCAAGTTGGAGATGTTAAATTCCTATGCTGATCCATTGAGATCTATCATGTGCTTCGATTTCTTCAAGTTAAAGAAATAGTCAAGTTACAAATGTTAGAGATAGTTTTACTGTATTTTTATTTTATTTTCTTTAGATATCGCTAAGTATATTGGTTTAGACAGTGAAAGTTTCAGTGCTACTATGGTGATGTACCCATCATTTTTTGTCATATAGAGGCAAGGGTCGACGGCGATGGGTTGAAATCCCAGTTTATGTAACTGTGAATCCAGTTTTTTATGCCACTGGCGACCTGCTTGCTTTAGACCGTAGATGGCTCTATTTAATTTATGTGCCTTAGGTTTGCCATCTTTAAGTTGCTGTGACCATTTAATAGCTCATTGTCGTACTGCTTTGGGTTTGGATTGGTTGTTTATAATGTTCTCAAGTGTTTCATTTAGTTGGCTTGGGATTTTCATGATGATGTTTTCTTGGATATCATCGTTTAGGAATGCTGTTGTAACGTCGAGTTGGTGGACTTTGAGATCAAGTTTGACTGCCAGTGCCATGACTGTTCGAATGGAACTGAGTCGGGCTACAGGAGCAAATGTTTCTTCGTAGTCTATACCGCCTTTTTTGAGTGTAGCTTTTGGCGACTAATCGTGCTTTGCGTTGCTCCAGCATCCCGTTGGGTTGAACTTGTTTCGTAGGACCAGTCTGCAGCCGATCGGTTTTCTATTGAGTGGTATGTCAACGATATCCCAAGAATTATTTTCTAGTAATGAGCTGATTTCCCTTTTGATGGCAGCTTTCCATTTGTCGGCTTCAGGGCTGTGTATTGCTTGGTGTAACGAAACTTCAGCTATACCAGCAAAATGATGAGTGATGCTGACTTGTTCATTGTTTACTTTGTCATTGCCATCTTGTGGGTTGATAGGAATCATGTGATATTGTTTTGAGGGTCTACTGCGATTTCTAGTTTTTAGTTTGGGCGGTCGTCCTGGTCCTCTTCTCATGGATGGTTGATCTTCCTGTGTTTCAGGGACTTCTGCCGTTTGTGTGTGGATGTTGGCAGGTTGATGTGGGACGTCAGTTTTTGTGTTGTTGACTTGAGTTTGCCGGGCAGTTACCTCTATTGAGTCAAGTCGATTCGTAGTGGTGAGAGAGTTGTTTTCTACAGTTGAGTGGTTGATGAAGTCTTCAAAAATATCGGTGTTTGCAATTTTTTCAATGAACTTGACATCTCGAGAGGTGGTTACGCTCTTTTCACCATCGAGAATAACACGATATGCTTTTGAGGTTACGGAGTAACCTACAAATGTGCAAGATTGAGCATGTGGATTGAATTTACCCTTACTGGGATTTTTGTTTAGAATGAAGGCTTTTGTTCTGAAGGTGTGAAAATGGCTGACATCAGGAATTTTTTTTTTTGAATAGTTTGTATGGAGTCTTGCCATCTATGCTTTGTGACAGAGATCGGTTTTGAATATGATTGGCTGTAAATATGGCTTCAGCCCAATAGGTGGTAGGAGTGTGTGCATGGATCATCATGCATCGTGCCATCTCTACTAGTGTTCAATTTTTGCACTCGGCGACTCCATTTTGTTGTGGGGTCCTTGCAGTTGATGTTCGATGTGATTAACTCCCTGTCATCTGAGGAAGGTACTCATTTCCTTGTTACAGTATTCGCCTCCATTGTCGCTCTGGATGGCTTTGATTTTTAGTCCATTCTGATTCTCTAGGTAGGCTTTGACGTCTTTTAGCGTCTCAAATAGTTCGTCCTTGGTCTTTAGAAAACGTACCTCAGTCCATCGAGTATAATCATCAATAAATGTAACAAAATTAAGTGATCCTCCAAGAGATCTCTTCCTGCATATATCCGTGTGAATGATTTCGAGTGGTCAGCTTGTCCGTCTGACAAGGAGATGGGGAAAAGGTAGGCATGACATCTTTCCGGCAATGCTTGTCTTGCATGTATCAAGCATATCTTCCTTGTCGAATTTTAGGCCAGTGACCCCCTCCTCAATCCAACAATTTTCTCAGTGCGGTAGCGTGAAGATGACCGAATCTTTCGTGCCAGATTAGTAATCCATTGATTGGAGATTTTTCTTGGGAAATGTGGATTCGATCATTTTGAGGTAGTATGTAATAGAGATTGCCAACGCAGTCCACTACTGTGGCTGTTGTTCCCTTTGAGTCGATGGCTCATGCTTTGAACTTATCAAATATTACCTTATAGCCTTTGTCGGTTATTTTGGAGACTGATAGAAGTTTGTGCGAAGCGATGGCATATGGAGAGTGTTTAGCAGGTCAAACAATCGTTCCTGTGTGCCAGTATCAACGTGAATTTGGGCCGTGCCAACTGCATTGATGGATATGATTTGATCATTAGCGAGATCCAATTTTGTGTTAGAAGTAGTTCGCAAGTCTGAAAATTTTCTTTGGTCAGAACACATGTGCGATGTGGCCCCGCTGTTGAGACACCAAGCATCACATGGCATTCCTGTGTGAAAAGTAGACTCACATGTGAAAAAGGTTCCGCTGTTGAGTTTGCTGGATCTCTGTTGATTTTCTTGTCTCTTCTTTTTATGACAATCTCGTTCTCTGTGGCCAGGTTTTTTGCAAAAATTACATTACAGTTTCAATCCTTGATAACGGACGGTAAGCACATCATTATTTTGCGATTCGCGAGAAGATCATCCTTCATATTCCTCAAACAGCTTGACTTTTAGGGTTTTGAGCTTCAGAAGGTCATCTCTCGTTTCAATTGCAGTGTGAAAGGTGTTGAAACTGTTGGATAAGCTGTATAGCAACAACACTGAGAAAAGCTCCTCGTTCACTATAATTCCTAAATCGGCTAGCTTGTCAGCAGTGTCCAGGAATTTGGCAATGTGATTGTGCAGATCTCCTCCTTCAAGTAGTTTCATGAGAATTAAGGTCTTTATTAAGGAGGCCTTCTTCGCTGGTCTCTGAGACTGGTAAATCAATTTCAGTTTGTCCCAAATTTCTTTCGATGTGCTGCAGTTTCGTATATGTTTTAGCTCGGGCGGACTTAACATTAATATCAGACTTGATCTTGCTTTACGGTCGTTTTTTTGTCCAGGTGTCGTTTTCCAATCAAGACTCAAGATTACTGGTGATTATGGTGGGACAAGGTACCGCTCCGTTAGCGTATTCCCACATGCCATCTCTTTCAAGTAAGGCTTCAGCTTGGCGACTCCAAGTATCGTAATTTTCTCGATTTAATATCTCGACTTTAAATGAATTCATCATTGCGGACGTGATGATTGATAGACCAAATAATAAAAGGCAAAAGATACGAACCAAGATGTAGAACAAGTTGAACCAAGATCTGGTTGTTCAGTTCAGTTTCCGTGTAGTGTTAGTGTCTGGGCCCATAACCTGTCATTAATCTGGAATCAGCAGAGAGACACTAAGATGAAACACATTGTACTGGTTAAGGTATCTTTGTTTACTCAAGTAATTAATATACAAATTAGTCTTTACATAACAGTAGGATGAACGTACATACGTGTCAACAGATAGTAGTCCAAACAAAGGAACAAGTGAAGACAAAGGGTCATAAAACGTTTTATTTGGTTATTGGGACGGTCCCTCTGGTAGGTCAAATTGGTTTGCGTCAAGAGTACTGACAGTAATTAAACTACATATCTTTTTAACACATTACTGCTAATGCGATATTGTATTATTTGTTTAGAAGTTTATTTTAAAATTTTACTTCACACTGTATGCATAAAATCAGACCAAAATGTCTCCACAAATAAAATGCATATCAGGCATATTATGTATACTTTTTTAAGTTTTGTAGAGGATATAACATTATACAAACAGTAAAAAATATGTGTAGTATATGAGAAAGATGCTCCTAAACATCAGACATGTCAAATGTGGCTTTGGACATTTTGTTTAGGAAATTTGAACTAAACCATACAAAATGTACGAGTTGCCCAAAAACTGTTGACAAAAAGAAATTTCAAGAAGAAATTTTGTTAAAAATCAATGAATAACTTGTGAACTTTGAACAAATCTTATTGTGTCACCAATGCAATGATTGTGTTCCACATGCATTAAGTGAAAAAAGAAACTGAATCAAGTTTAATTTTGTCTGACTAAGATAGGCAGCTGTAAGGTTTTATTTTTTTATTAAATTAGTTACTCATTTATACCATAGAAAGCTTTTCTTACTGATAACAAAATAAAAATATTTGTTGTTTACTGAAAATTTGTTTTAGCTGATGGAGATTGTTTTTGTCAAATACCAAGATATCACTGTATTTGATTAACAAAATTTTGATATACATGGTAGGATCAAGGGATCAATTAATTATGTTAATCAAGGGATATCTGTATTTAACTATAAGTCACTATATTTTTTTATTGATTCCATCCAAATCGCTTCTGATCCTAATTTAACAGTTCTGCTATAAAGGATGCAAGTTTAAATTTGATTCTTATTTTTTATGAATAGTTTTGGACTGAAAAATTCAATTGTGTGTCTGCTGTAAAATAGACAAAACTGAAATCAACTATCAATATATAGAAGCATTATCTCCAGACCTTTTAGGCTAGCATGGCATTTTAAGTTTTGTATTTTAAAGATCCATTTGAGGTTACAGGTGTATTTGTGCTTGAGTCTGAAGGTGACACTGTCTGCTAGAGAAATTATTCTAGAGCTTACTGTTACTAACACATTTGGATCAATAGTGTAGAGTTAGTTTTCAAAGTCAATAAATGAAGATAGGATGCAAACTTCTTATTCCTAGATATCTGGTGTTTATTTTAAAAATTTTGAGTCATACGACTCAAAATTTTTAAAATATTACACCAGATATATATTAGATTCTTTAGATCTATTCCTTTTAGTTATTTCTTCTATCATTCTACAAGAAGTGTTTAGGTTAAAAATTTTTTATCAGTTTTAACATATAAAAATCATATTGAATTAATTGATACATGTTGACTTAAATGACATGGCCAGGATTATTAAGACAGTATAGTCTTCATCAGGATTAATTACAAAAAATTTTACTTAGCCTGAAAATTCCACATAGATTTTCTAAAAACAGTAATTAAAAATATTAATATGAAGAATATAAATATACTTTTTACATTTAACAAGAAAGTACTTTTATATTTATAACTGTTGACTATTACAAACAATTGCATATTCATATCATATATGAAATTGTAATTATTTATTCAAGATTCTGATGTCATTTTTATTAAAAATACACTTTTCAAAAGGAGTGTATTTTGCAACACATGCTAATTGCAGGGCTGGTAGAGGAAACAGATGATTAAGTTTGTGTATGCATTAGGTCATCTGGTACCCAGTTTTAGGTTATAAAGACCAGCAGTTGGCTTGAGCTGTAAATGCTATTAGCAATGGTTTATGGCAGCCAAACTTTTGAAGAAGCATATAGAAAATGTCATATCATGAGATATCAGGAATGATATATCATTTTCAGGAATGCATTAGACCACTAATTCCCAAACTTTCTTAATTCACAATGCCCTTAGTCATAAATTTTTTCACATCATCTCAATACAAATTTTTTTTCTTAAGTGGAGATAAATTTAAATGAGACTTTAGTGTTGAATGAATCTGTTCAAAAGTACTCCATATCTTCTGAAAAGTGCTTTTGAAATTATCATTGAATTTTATTAGTTATTTATAAAAAAAAATCAAGTTTGTGGATCAAGTTAGCTTTATTGGATTAATAAAACTTCTGCAATAAGTAGAAAATGTCCATTATCTTCTATTTTTTTTCATTCTCAGTAAATAGTAACTTTTTCTGATGGCTGAAATCTTTTCTACGAGCTTGAAATTGTGCATGTTATTTCCCTGCAGAGAGAGAAATTCAGCACATTCTGTATTTGAAGAGATTGCAATATTATCACCTTCTGCAATCTGGAGTTCTCTTTTTCTTAAAAATTTAAAATATCTTGTCAGCATCCTTATGAGTTTGCTGTGGCATCCTGTGGTACTGTAGCACAGTTTGGGAAATATTGATTATATTCAAATAACTGGGTATAGTTATTATTTTATTAGTTTCAAGGTTTTTAAAATTTATGTAATAATTCTATACTCTAAATAATTCAATTTTTTTAATGCATTGAATTTTTAACTACTATTTTTGTGATAAACAATGTAACTAATTTTTAGATATCTGCCCTCATGGATAAATTTGAAAGACAGTTTGAAGATTTAGATGTACAGTCCTCTTATATGGAAAATACTATGAGTGCAACAACAACTGTTACTGTTCCACAAAATGATGTAGAAAATCTAATGCAACAAGTAGCAGATGAAGCAGGGTAAGTTCATTAATAAATTTTGAATGTTTGTATTATGATAATAAAAAATTAGATTTAAAAGTTTAGAAAAGATTTTAAAACTTTTTAAATTTAAAAAGTTTAAAAACTGGTTTAAACAAAAAAAAATTTTGTCATTAAGTGATAAAAAATTTAAAACTTTGGTGTAAACTGGTCTCTTTCAATTAGATCATTGATATGATATGTGATTTAAATTGATCTGAATTTTTATAATTATATAAATTTAAGCAAACAAAATTATTTAAAAAGTTATTCACTTTTACATTTGAAATTAATTTAGTTTTTTAGTTAGTTATTTATTAAAAAATTAGTTTTATTATGTAATATTTATATATCATTCAGTTTTAATAAAGTATTAAAATAAGTTATTTTATTATTAGATCTATATAAATTTTAATAAAACATCAAATACTAATGTACATTTTAAAATACTAATTTATATATTTTTTATAATAGTCTGGAATTAAATATGGAATTACCTAGAGGAGAAACTGGATCTGTTGTAGCTTCTTCTGCTGCTTCAGCAGAACAGGTAGTCTATCATTTATAAGTAATTTTCTTCCTCCTTTTGATATTTTCAATAAATCCATCTTTGTTTTAAGTTAAATTTTGATTTGACATTATATTCATTATTCATAATTATATTAGCTTGTTATTGTATAAAGTTAAAACAAATATATGTATTAAGAAACAAAATTTCAAATAACTAGGATATACCAGTAATGTCAAAAACTTTCCAAAAAATATTTTTATTTCTGGAATTTGTTACATATAAGGAGATATAAACAACATATCCAAAATATTGTTCCTGAGCAACAACACACTTTTTCCAGAAATGCTTCAAGATGTACTATACATCTTGAAGCATTTCTAGAAGATATCTTTCTGCACTTGGCATAGAGCAGCTGTTGCAGCTAGAATGTTTTCACTTTTCACAGAAGAATTTATGTCATTCAAATATGCCGAGTTTTTCAGTTCTGACTCACTGAACATCAAATTCAACATGTTTAATACCTTTGGGGCAGCTCCTGTATGAGAGACAGGAATGACCTTTGACCCCTATAGCCTAATTTTGTAACTCGTAACTTTTGCTTTAAACTTGTCTTCTCATATTTACTATGGCCATTGTTCTTTTGTAAGTAATATATTCCTAGCTCTGTCTATTGTCAAAATTTTAAGATTGAAATTGAATTCATATTTGTATTGAATTTTTTCTCAACTTAAGATTTTCCACCTTTTTTTTTTTATTGAAGTTATTATTATTATTAGAAAATAATTTAAGGTGTAGTTCTTTTAAAATATAAATACAAATAAGCAAAAACATCACAATTATTATGGTCTAATGTAATTTTTATTGAGTGCTAATTTGCATATTTACCTAGATAGAATATAAACAAAACAAAAACTAAAATTCTGTTGCGCACATTGTCATAAATCTTTCTCAGATGGTATAAAACAACCAATAAAATGAAAACACATCATTAACCAATCAGAATTGAGTATGAATTTTTCAAATAGTAAAAGTATTAAAAAAAAAAAAGGCTAAACAAATTGATTTTTGCATTTGTTTACATTAAATTCAAATTATAAACAATCAAATCTATATCAACAAATTCTTACTTATTATATATCAAATTAAATGAGAAAAAATTATCTTCAACACAGACTAATAATAAAAACCATAAACCTATTCATTTTGAAACATGTGCAATTTTAAAAAAGGTCTGTCCACAAAAAACATGACACCTAAAAGATATCAGTCCCAAATATGTTAACATTTCTGCCTATGACTTATTCAGTAAGGTCTAGTACACATTAGGCATTGGGCGTTGCGTTAAACGTGTGTTAGCAGCTTACACACTGCATGTTTAGTTTTGCATTCGACAATCTTTCGCACTGGCTTAGTTTGGAAATTGACATGAAAGTAATTACTTGTGTGTGGCTCCTATACTGCATCATTGCTATAAAAGACGATGGCTGGTATCTTTTGGATTTCATCAATAAATAGATCAGTATCGAAATGATCATTCTCCATTTTGGCCAATGTGCGTCCACTCTACCCGAAAGTGCACGATCGAATGTACAACAAAATAGCAGCACGTATATCTCAAAGTGTGCGGCTGACGCCCGCGAAACGTGTGTTCTAACCAAAATCTATCAATGCGTGTTTGAGTGTGTATACCTATGTGGAACTCTTGGTTCTTTAAAATGCGCATTAACAAAGCACATGCTTCAAAACGTCTAATGTGTACACAGCCTAAAACATAAAATTTGATATTAGCGTGCTGTTCCTAAAGGCATGTTCTGCTGCTAAACTTCATTCGTAACAAGCAATAATGAAACTTCTTCAGATCATTCTGCCAGGTGTTAATTGATGCATGCACAGTAATTAGATTGTGCAATAATACCTCCCAAAGAGTGTTGCTACATGCTACAACTTTATTTTTACTTATTAAGTTTGTGGAATGTGTTGTCTTGAATATTTCTGGGAACTTTTTGACACATTACTACAGTTGTATAATTAACATATTACAAAATAAATGTATGTTTATCATAAAAAAATTTTGCAGAGTCTTAGAACAGCAGTCATGAACCACTAAACTCACAATTTTGAATCCCACTGACCACTATCATAAATTTTTTAAAGGATACAAACATCTATAGAATAAATGATTATAAATGTTCCCTTTTACTTTATTAATATGAAATTCACTTGTTTAATTATAACAAATTAGTATAAAGTTTGTTGCTGCTTGTTTGAAATAAGTTTGTGGATTCTTGGATCTTTTCCATAAAGTATGACAATTGCACTCACAACATTGTTTATTGATTTATTGATAAGTCATTTTATGTTTGGTTTTGGATTTGAATAAAAAACTCCAGTGAGTGAGAAAAAGCAAGCAAATGTTTTTCATTTCTTTTGAAATACTTCACATAACCTTGAGTTTATCAATGTCCAAATTTCTCCACAAACCACTAAAATTTTCTCACAGACCAACAGTGGTGTACAAACCATTGATTAGTGACCACTGATCTAGAATACAATTCTTAAATCAAGTTTTTGCTTAATAATAAATAAATAATTATATAAATAATATCTTAATAATTAATAAATATTGCATAGTTAAGGAAATAACTACTCATTGTTATTTTTGAAGGGGTTAAAATAAATGTGTAGATTAAACATGCAAACTTTTAACATAAATAAACAAATTTACAATAAACTGAGTTTAGAATATTGATATTTCTTGCATTTGAATAAGTTGTTCAGAATTCAATTCAATATCTATACATTTTCAATAAATTTTTATATTCATTTTTTTTTTTTTAATATTAACAGTCTATTTTATAATTTATACAGATGTTATTTTAATGCTTTAATTATTAATTAATTAATCAAGTATAAATAACTTACTGTTATCAGATAATTTATATAAATTTTTGTAAATATTCATTTCAGGATGAACTTACTCAGAGACTTGCTAAACTACGTCAAACTTAAGAGTCCACATTTGTTTTTGTTTGTAGAAGAAAATTGAAATAAATACTTAAATTTAAAAGTATTTATTTGCTTGAAATATTAAATGCAATATTTAAATGTTTTCAAAGGAAAAAAAAATCCTTCCATTAAATAACTTCATTATTTTGTACTGTTATTGAACACTCATAACTTAGGAAAATGTTAAAAATTAATTTCAATAATAGAATGGCAATTTTGTAATTTTAAAATTTATAAGGAAAATTTTCAGCATAAATTTTGTTATAAAATTGTAAATATAATTTACTATTCTTAATACTATTTGATACCAGATAAATGCTGCACTTATTTTTTTAAATGCATTCAATATAATCTTATACTATAAAACTGCAGAATGTTATGCATTGAAAAATTGAAACACAGATTGTATTTAGAATTGTTAAAGATCATACTAATTTAAAATTATATTTTTCTATTAGATAAATGATTATTAATAAGATATAAGTTATTTAAATAGTACTTTTCAAAATTACAGTGTATTTAATATTTAGAACTGTTTTTAATTGATTAAATTTGATTATATAAATAAATTTAAAAATCTTAAAATAGCTGTGAAATATTTATCAAATTGGCATTTTAGTTTTTTATTAAGAATGAATGTTTTCAAAAAATATTTAATTATATTTAAATATATTTTTTTTAATTATAAATGCAATTGTTAATATATATTTATTCAGTAAACTGTTATTAATTCTCAATAATTACTGTGAAAAATATAATAGTCTTAATTATATAAATATATTATATATATACACTGTATATAATTCAATATTTGAAAGTATGTAGTAGTAATAAAAGAAATTGAAAGTATAATTTTATTAAATCTTAAATTTTCTCAAATGAATTTATTTTAATTTATTGGAGAATTTATTAGAAATAAGAGATATTTCTGATAATAACACATTTACATAACATCAAACAACCTTTTTTTATATCAAATTAAATTTTTATTCTAATTTCTTGATAGAAGTTCACTATATTCTGTCTAAATTAATTATATTGGGCTAATTTTGGAACTAGATTAGTTCAAAATTAGTCAAACACTTCCAAAATTTCATCTGTTATGTTCCATCTTACCAAAAAGTTACGATTTTAAAATTTTCCAGCGAAATATTTTTTAATTTTATTAGTAATAAATGTTTTATTGAAGAATTAAGAAATTTTTAAATTTTATACATCAATTTATAAATTAAACATTTGATTTGATTTGTGATTTTATACTGAGAATATAATTTATACTAAATGTAATTTTGTAAAATAATATAATTTTCAAAATTTTAAATAAATTTCAATAGGAAAAAAAAATGTTTATTAAATTTTTATCCTGTTTGAAAAAAAAATTAGAAGAGAAATAACAGGAAATCAATAACAGTTCTTCACAGCTGTATGTTAGTGAATGATATTATTGCATGAATTAAAATTTATACATTAATAATTATTATTCTAAATTCATTTCAGGATTTTATAAAAAAATAAAATATGTATTATTTATAAATATTAAAGTTAATATATTTTGTTAATATTCAAAATTTTTGTAGAAAAGTTACTAACTTGGCTAATAGTCACATTTTAAAATTTGACAAAACAAACTTTTTAGAAAATTATTCCTCATTATTTTAGTATAAAAATAATTTTCACTAAACTTTTCCTCATAAACCTAGAGTATGACATTATTTCTGCTTAACATTTCATATAAATCATTTATTAGCTACTTGAGAAATCATCCTAGTCTGAAAGTAATATTTGATTTTTAATTTCTATTTGTTTTTCAAGCATTCGCAACAAATTCTCACATACATTAATATTATATGTTAGTATTATAACCAATATGTAATAATATGCACAATGTGATTGACGTTGGTTATCTTTTCGACGATATTATTTTATATAAAGTCAATTTAATAGTTGAGTTGAATCGCTTCTCAAACTTGGTATAGATTTTATTAGTAATAAAATTACGTTGTTACAACCAATGCCGTAAAGCATTTGTCTTTCCTGCGATTTGCTTTCCATTTTTTTCGAATAATAATTTTATAAAGTGAAAATATTTTGTAAGAATAAATTAAAATAGTGTAATACTAAAGTAATTGCGGTCAAGCACCATGAGCTGCTTTTCTAGTTCTCTTTAAATTCTAGACAAAGACGAAAAATAGGTAGCGCAAGATAAATTTCGAGTCAAACTTTGATTTTAAAAAAACTGTAAAAAGCATTTAGTAATACAGGAACGTTATTACTGTTATTTTAATTGAACGACCATTTTTGAAATAAATACAGTATTACTAAATGAATTACTAGTTAATCTTCATAATTCTTTTATTATATTTGTTAGTTATATTTAAGTATATATATCAACTCTATTAATTTTTTTTGTTATTGGGGTGCAATTTGAAAAAATTGTAGATTATAAATTCCTCTCGTCCTTCTATCCTTCCTTAGTTTCGAGAACAGTGTTTGTTAGATAGATGAAAATCAAGACCAGATATGGAAATCTATCACTGCCATTACAAAATACAGACATTAAAAAGGACTCTAGAAACCCTACATAAATTACATGTAGACAAACTCATAATTTTGATTGGCCAATTATTTAGTAAGTTGTCAAATCACAAATGTGTTCGTTAAATTCGTTATTATTATTATTATTTTTTTTAATTTGAAAAGTTCTCCCAAACTTAATAGCTTGATGAGCATGGTGGATCGTATATGGCGTCATCCACACTGGAACGTGAATGACGAAATGACGAAAACCGAAATCAAATCCTCGTTCTACACGAATTTGATTTCATACGAGTTGTAAAATAATTTTCACGAGGAAATAACAATCGTACGGAGAAATGTTACTATTTTCGAATTACTCCATTGTCGATATTCAATTCAACTGAATAAATCTGAATAAGCATAAATACGTTTTCGTCGACGCCGCCATTTCTTCTTTTCCTCTTTTAACTCTCCGCCCCAGGAGCCCTAAGCAGTGACGTACCGTAGTGGGGTCGGCAAAATTTCACAATAAATAACATCTTGTAAAAATTTGAAACATCCTAAACTATACTTGCATCGCCCCTACGATAGTGCTATCGTCCGGACAGTCCGGGAATCGGCTCGCCGGCCGGGTGAACTAGTAATTTTTTCATCCGAAGAAATCCTGCGAAACTTTTTTTTTGCTTGTACGATTCATTCGCATTCATATACACCACTAATATCCAATAGAATTACTTTAAACAGGTCGCTGCACTACCACCGAATTTTTCATTGCTTGTTCTGTGACGAAACTGAATTTTGGTCTTTTAAATTGAAATGCCTAAATAAGGGGGCGAAATTTTCCTCCGCCCTGGCCGGCTGACACCCACGGTACGCTACTGGCACTAAGAGGACCTTTTTAGCAAGCCCGTTATGGGTCAGGCCCACAATAGAATGGCCGGATGGCGAGGGACGGGCCTGATATATTCAGATGGACAACCCCGAAAAATCGTGGCATTGTCCATCTGGATGGGTTTTTCGACCTGTCCCAGAGCAGTAGGCTGCCGTTCTAACCGTTCAGTCATCCGACCATCCCTCTTGATAGGTGAGTCATCGTACAAACCATATTGTTCATATGATTAGGATGAGGCCTCACTGATCAGCTGGCAAAGTCACTTTCTTAGATTAGAAACGATTTATTTGCAAAATGGTGAGGAAGTAATAATGACTTAACAAAAACTACGTTTCGCGTCTAATCTTATTCTTAAATGCAAACATCAATACAACCTTGTCACAATTTTAGTGCTAAGATTTTATTGTTCAGTTTGCCTTTAAGAATAAGATCATTATTTTAGTCGCGAAACGTCGTTAAAAGTTGAATTTTATGATGTGCAATCGGAATGCAATAATTTACATCAGTGTAATAATATCAGAAAATATATATTTTCTAATCGAAAACTTTGAAGTGAGCTTTATATATCACAAGTGAAGAGTATAAATTTTAAGATGTCAACTTTCCACAATGGACACGAATATAACCATAACCTGTTGGAAAAGTCAAATAAAATGAAAACGCGAAAATTCCATTAGAGTACGCAATATACAATTCTCTGTATTCAGGTGAAATTTCAACACATTGTTTATTCTTTATTTATTTAGTTGCAGTATGAAAATGAATAAAATTCCGTGATAATATACAGTAACGTTTTAATGGCTGTTATTCAGATTAATTATAATACAGTGGTACCTTGTACTTTGAACTCTAAATTCGACAAAAATTTGCTTCGGAATTCGAACTGCGTGCAATGTGCGCTGGAAGCATAAAACGCAATCTGTTATGAAGCCAAGTCGTCTCGCTCTCGTGTTACGCTCGTATGTTTTCACATATTTCGCTCTATTTTGGCCGTTTGATTATATATATCGAGCTTTGTTCGTCGATTTTAAGCAATTTCTTCCCGCAACTTTTCTTCTTCGATAGCTTTTTGGCGCCCAGTACTTTTTGAATCTTTTAGTTTAAAATTTCCTCAACGGAATTTCATAAATCACATTTTACACGTTCGAAGTTCAGCAGCATCTGTCCCCATAACATTACGATTTTGTTTTTACTATTCGGTGTTATATCTTTTCGAAACTCATAAAGCATATTGTCCGATATGCTTTTTGTCTGAAAACATTTCGACTTGATTTTATTTAAATAAATTTCAAGTTAAAGCTTAAAATAAGCTTAAAACAAAGAATACATCTCACATTAGCAATAACGTGTTCAATTTCAAAACTGTTATAATTAAATCAGAAAATCCACGTTAATCTATATATAGCCTACTCGTATGCATGGTAATTTCTGTAATATATATGAATTAAATGTATTATTTTGTGCTCTTTATTGATGATTCTTGGTGCTTGGTTTATGTAAAACTCTCAAAAATAAGCCTTATTCTGAATAATAATTAAGAAGAAAATAACCGGTACTTAAAAAAGGGAAAAATAAACAAATAACTTTAAATTTATGAAATATCTGACAGAACGTAGAAAGAC